ACCTCCTAACATAATCCCAGATCGGGGTGATATGGTGAGAGATCCTGTTAAATAGGAAGAAGCAGATGAATGCAATGTTAGGGTAGCATATAACCAAAAGCCCACTGAACGTGGTGAATGTTTGCGTCTCTTCACTTATTTGGATTCTTTTTTCTAAAACAACATATTTTGTGAAGCAAGGACAGTACAATCTGCAACACTTTTATGCGTGGCGCCTTTTAAGAAGCGAAGCTAGGTAACAAAAATTATGGAGGATAAAATGATTATTTCCGCACAGTTTTAAGTTACTTCCCGCAAAGTTTTTTGGTCTGTTCCATTGACTCTCTATTCATAATTTTTTTATTCAAGTTCTTTTTTTCCTTTTTAGGTGTTCGCTGAATGTCCACTCCTACGACATCTACAGATCTATGCCTATGACTCCGTGATGTTTCTTTAAACTATACTTGTGTTTACAATTTGTACCTTTTGTGTTACATCCCCCAGCTTCCACACTTGCTTCATCGGTTTGGAACATCCACTGACCGTCTCGAGCAACGTTTGAGGTGAAAGTAAGATTAAGGATGTCATTTGTTCGGGAGCCAGGAATAATGGAGAACCTCACCCCATCTCCAGCATTAAACCCGCCCTGCAGTTCAAAGTCAAATCCACAGTCAATTCCATACATTTATGGTAGCATCTTAATCATTGTGTAATATTTCGGTCACAGCTTCAGATAGAGGAAAGGGTTCAACTCTACGAATCTATGAGTAATCTTTTCCAAGCGAGCTCAGTGCATGCATTAGTACCTTTCTCTTGGGTGACGTTTTAACCTTTCTTAGAGTTACAACGGTAAATTTGTCATGGATAGAGTTCATTAAATTAAGTAGGTCTAAAGATATTTGGGTATTCCATTGGCCATATGTTCTTTAATAAAAATTTTGAGAAGTGGACTCCCACTAAAGATGCGGCACAAGCATGGGGCCTTTGAGATTCGAGTTGGCGAGCAAAACGGACAGGAAAGAGGTCTGAGAGGGGTCTCATTTTCGGGCCAGAACCCTCGCAGACTCTTTGCAAACCTCTTGCACGCTCGCCTCACGGGTGGGCTCGAAACCCGCAGGCTTCGCCGCTCCTGTAGGCGCAGTCTTGTGCACTCGCAGGCTACACAACTGTAGGAAAAGGACAGGTGAAAAAATATTGGAAGGCTATGGGTTATTTGAATGTGCGTTTCATTGCAACCTGCATGTTTATAATTTTTTTTCTATATAGATTGTGGTAATAAATCCACTGGGCTCAGTGTTTTTACTCAATATATTGTCTCTTACTTTACATTCAGACACTCACCTGAGCAGGCGTACCGCCCAATCCGTCCTCAGTCCCTCCGCTAGCTGTACCAGTTGTCCATACGATTTGATTGTAATTGAATATGGCAAATGAATGACGTCCATTTGTAACCAGCACTGCTTGAAAGTTGTTGACCTGACAAGGAACAAAATTGCAATTTCTTTAAAAATTCTTACCCTTTTACACAAGATCCTCTGCTTAAACCATTGTGAATTAGGGTTATTTGTCTTTATAGCCCTGTTAGGTTTTAACTAATGTTACCTTGTTTGTAAAATTAGAGTGGGAAAGACGGTAAATTTTGCGCTCAGTAGTGAAGTGGAGAAAGACGTTTTACGTCTTTTCACGAGAGTGGGGGAAAGGAAGAAATTCTAAGTCCCCATAAGGAATCGAATCTCAGACCTCCAGATTCCACACTCTGATATTCTACCAGTGAGTCATAGAGACTCTGTGGAGAGCTACACATGTATAAGGTTCTTACGTGACACGCGTCCTTCTTATTGCTAGGATTAGCTATTCGGAGAGCGTCATGTGTAAATAAAATAAGAAAGAGGTCAGTGGTGGCGCATCAATGGTCAGAAGTTCGATTCTTCATGTCCCACGCTTGTGACAAGGCGAAAAACTTATCTTTCCCTGTTACCTTGTTTCTAAAGTCTCCTTCAGCTCCAAAGAATGCCACTCTGTCCCAGGTCGCTATGAAGATCCACGAGGCTGAGAATCTCTGGTGATTTAAGAATGCCCGTCGAACATCCTTTGTAGCTCGTTCCAGCAATACAGGGTCAATAGACTCCCTGTATAATACAGTTCCCCCTTTTCTGGTGTCCACGTCACCCCAAAATGGCGAAATAAGACGTCGGTTGTCCCCCAGGGGGAATGGAGCTGGGGTGTATTGACTCACTGCAACCAGAAATGAGATAACTCCATTTGTGTTCACCTGAAATCACACACAGAGAAAAGTTAAATTAGAAATGAAGATTGTTCTGAAATCGATAATCTTCTGGAAGCCTTTAATAAGTCATGCGATCATATAAAACATGATTCTTCACAACTTCTGCTGGTGAACGATTTAATATTACAATACATGTGTTATATCATAATCAGATGACCTACAGTGGAGTTTACAAGTCTTGGGACACTTTCAATCGAATTGTTTCTTCCGCAAACAAAGTTGAATTTGGTGCGCTTGTGACAGCATTTGTGAAAGGACGATTTATACTAATTATAGTTATGACTCGTCTATAACATGGGCGTAAACTGAAAACGGTGAGGTCATACAGATCAGATTCATGGTTTTGCAGCTTAAGTTCGAACCGTTTTAATGCCTTTGTAGCCTCCGACAACACTTCTTAGATTAAAAAATTTTCCGGTTCGAAAAGTATTTTAATTTGTGAATTCGTTGGGCAGTAAAGCGGCGCTGAAAAATTACCCTTGAACAAATTTTGACAGTACTCAAGTACTTAGTGAAACAACTACTATACTGTCGTGCCCGCCAGACTATCACGAATACTTTTAATGCACGATCTGGTTGAAATGAAAGTGGAATGTCTTGTATACTGAATTCAAGTTTTTTTTTTCGTTGTTTGCATGCGTTCTATTCGTCTTCTGCTGAGGTAGCGATGATTTCTGTACAGGAAGAACCTAATATATCTCGTGACACACACCACGCATGAAACACATGGGTGGCTTAGAAAGGTCACTTGTGGCATATTGGAGTACTTAAACAATGCGATAGAACTGAAAATATTGTTGGGCAGTGAAGATATGACGGAATAAACGAGCAACTAATATCATTCATCACAGTGTAAAGATAGAATTTTAAAGGAAAATCATACTTTGTTTGAATACGTTATTGATCCGTGCTGCATTTAGTTATATTTAATCAAGCGAGACAAATGTGGTTCCGAGAAAAAATTTAACTGTCACGCTGGTAGTTCATAGGGATTTTAATACACAAGAAATCAGAGACGCTATCAATGTACAATTTTCTTGAAAATTTTTATTTAAAGGGCGTTATTAGAATCTTAGGTGAAGTAAGAAAAGCAGAAACTCTTTCAATCTGTGAATTTCAATTTTGCAAAGTTTAGCGCTGACATCACGTACAATCAAAGTGGTTTTAAAATACAGGCACTTCAATATTTTAAAAAATAAACTTATAAAAGATATCACCGAGTCTAAACATAATTCATATTAAAAAGTGCAAATAAATACTGCCTACTTACATATAAGGAATGGTGATTCTTGTCAAAATACGGGTAGAGAATTGAGATTGGTATTTCTCCTGAGCTGCCGTCGTCATTTG